AGCAACTCTCCAGCTCCACCATGGAACTCCGAGCACTGACAAATCCTCAACTCGGGTGTCAAGTTTGTAGAAAATGGCCGGACACAAATCTCTTTCGCATTTTTCTCCCGGAAAATAACTAAATAAACAAACAAATAGACAAATAAATATTCTGGGCCCAGGAGATAAATGACTATATCTGGTGGTAAATACTGACCAGCAGCAGCAGCTTGGAGGAGAATCACCCTCACACCACCAGCGTTTTAACTGCAGCGTTTAGAGGAGAGGAGGAGAAACGCTAGATCTTGCGAGTCGCAACCGCCTGCACGCCACTGGCCTCACTGGCTCCAGTGTCTGCGAGGAAAAGAGGCTGGTGCAGAGGAACAATTAAAACAAATAATAATAACGAAGAGGCACTAACGACTTGGAAGCAGCCGCGGCCCCGCCGAAGTGCCAGCCCCGGCTGGGAAGCGCAGCGCAGGTGTCAGCGGCGGCGGTGCCGGTGCAGCGCCCGGTCCCTCTGCCCGATCCAAGGCGGCCAAGGGGACACGGGAGGAGCGGGGGGAAACGCACACCGTCCTCATACGGTGAAAACCAGCTGCCCCGCGGGGAAGCGTGAGGGCACGGAGAGCGCGGCTCGGCGGCACCGCGGCCCACGGGCCGGGCGGGGGACACGGCGGGCTCGCCGGGGACTGGGGGGGAAGACAACGCCGAAATCCCCCCAGACACAGGCGGCTCGATTTCAGCGGAGCGGCGTGGAAATTACTGTCATTCGCTAACAGGTCCTGAAAGTCTTTCTTGCGTTCCAGGCAGCCAGAAGTTACTTTTCGTGTCATTCCCGCCGCTGTCCTCCCGTATTTCCAACACACCGGAAAGTTTCCATCTGAACAACTTGAATATTTTCCAGTAACTACTCATTTTCCCGGAAGCCAGAACTAGCTTGGGAAGCAGCTCTGAAGCGGGCTGCCAGAGGCTCCCCGCCCCGCTCCGCCTGACCCAGAGCGGGTGTAGGCATGGCCCCGGAGCCGGGACCCCCCCGCCTCACCGGCACCGTCCGAGAGCAGCACGGGGATCGGGGGCTTCCTCGGAGGAGCGAGAAACCCAATAGAAGCAGCCGTCTCAAGCCCAAAGGGCGGTTGCATTTGGGGGAAAAGAATGAAAACAGAAAGGAGAGGGGAAAAAAAAAAAAAAGAAAATAACAAAGAAAAATAAAAAGAAGGAAAAAATAAAAACCACCAAAAAAGTTGTTCCTGCTTTTTTAACAGCCATATCCCAACTCTTTCCGACTCTCTGAACTTTTTTCCTTAATCGCACTGCTTGCCCTTCTGCTAAAAGGAGGTGATTCTTCGCTTCTTTCTATATTTTAAATAACTTCTGATGTGTCGGGAGAAATAAAAGTACCAGCAGACACCCAGCGAGCAGAGGATTTGTGTTTGATGGTTTTAAAGACGAGATTTTAAGTTGCTTGATTTAATTCTGCCAAATAAGAAGGTAACAGTTGTCTGCAGAGCTCAAATTACCTGAATTTACACCCAAATCTACGAGAAGTTTGACAAGAGACAATTCTGATAACCCCGGTGCCACTGAGGTGGGAGAGGGACTTGGGGGGACGCATAAAAACATGGGTTTGAGGATATCCCCGAGGAAAGGGGTGTCCGAAAACGGGGCGCCGAGAAACCTGACATCGAAGGGATGAGGGGGGTGTTGAGTCTGGCACGAAAGCGAGCCGTCATACTGAGATTTAGTTATTAGCAAGGCAAATCTTCGGACTGGGGAACGAAATGGGAAGAGAAACTTAATATCCGTGACTGGGGAGGAGAAGTGAGATTCCCGGGCCCCTGGTGCCCTGCAGGCACTCCCCGGGCAGAGCATTTCTGGGATGACACCCCCTGCTCCTGGCCAAAGCCCTGACATAATTAAAGTTTAAAAGAAATATATATATATGTGTGGAAAAAAAAATTGGGAAAACACAAGTCGTCGCTGGAACACCGCTCTCCAAACTCAGGTTACTGTATTTCTTTCGCTAAGATCTGTCATTATTTGCTGTATGTCCTCCGACTAGTCAATCATAATGAGCAGGTTTTAAAACCTCCACTAATTTACACAGAACGAAACCACTTTCCAGCCACGCTGGAAAGAAGAAGAAAAAAATAAATGGGGGAAAAAAAAATCCAAAACCTCTACTCAATTAAAAATAACGATTTTGTTCTTGGACAGCTACCAGGTTTTCGCTCTTACCATCCCGGGACTTTGATTTAAGGTCGGTAACATCCTGTAAGGCTACAATCCTTCCGCATCCATTGCCATGGTGCCCCGCCAGCCCAGCCCTGCCCTGCCAGGCAGCACGGAGCTGCCCGCAGCCTGCCTGCACAGCAGCTTTGATCGCAGAAAAGAACGTGATGAAGCGCACGGGGTTCATTAAGCTTTGCAAAGATCCAGTTGGTACGAGCAATAAAAAACCACATCCCGGTATTTAGCAACCTGGTTGCATACGCTGAGTATAGACAACAGGGTCTGAAGAAATAATGAAGAAATTACGCGGCTTTAAACACACCCAAAAAAAAAGTTTCCAGAGCGAAAAAGAAAAAAAAAAAAAATGTCCAAAATACCTCAGTGGGGGATCGAAAAAAGCCCCAGAATCTTCGTTTTGAGGCGCAGAGCACGTCCGTTCCCTCCACAGGTTTCCCAAAACCCCGCTTTTCGAGCCCATTCTGTGGATACAGAGGCTACAGGGAGGGGGCTCGCCCCACCGGGGCTGCCCGGGGAGGGGGCGGCGGGTCCCGGGGCCGCCTCGCAGAACCTGGGGGCTGCAGCCTGGGGGAAGCCGCTGGGCTCCCGGGGAACTCCCGAGCAAATCCCTTCCCAGCGGGATGACGGAGTCGCTCCCTCTTCGCTGGAAAGGGAGCCGCACCGTGTCAGCCCCGGCACTGCCAAATCCCTTCTCACCCCCCCCCCCCCCCCGGCGCTTCCTCCCCCTCTTCTCCTCCCGGGCTGTATCGGATTTTTATCTTTTTATTTATTTATTTCACCCACCCTCAGCACAAACGCCTTCTCCCCCGCCTGCGACATCTGGGGCTTGTGAGCAAGGAGAGCTCTGAAGCGGCGGTTACCACCGCGCTCTTTCCGTGACACCACGGGGGAATTTTGCAGGTTCTTTGAAATAAAATAAAATAGAATAAAATAAAACAAATGATACGGGGAAGGCGCTGACTCCCTCTGGAGAGGGTTGGCAGCACCCGCCCAGAGGTGGCTGCGCCACCGTGGCTCGTCCTCACGTCCCCCCGAGTCCAGCTGCAAACGCAGCTGGGAGGCAACGGGGCTTGGCGAGGAGCCACCTCCCCGCCGAAACCAGCCCTTCCCCGAGCCCCAAACCCAGAGCCGGCGTTTTTCCGCCCCGCTCCCCGCCCAGGGGCACAGGGATCCGCTTTCGATCGCTGGTTCCAAATTTCGCTGGTTGCTTAAGAAAGGAGACTGAAATATCACTACTGGGGAAAAACGCACTGCTGGTAAAAGTTTAGTAAAGAGCTTCAAATCAACTCCCCACCGCTGTTGGTACATAGGAAATACATAGTAAATAAGATTTAATTTCTCTGACCCATTTTGAAATGCGGGGAGTTGCCGTACTTGGCCAATAAACCCCTAAAAGTTTGCAAAAAGGTACGAGGACTAATGATGATAACACCAGAAGCGGCGCTTGGACTGGTGTGTAACCCCGGCAAACGCCTGACGAGAAAATACAGGCGCTTGGAGCCGTTTTGTCGTTTTACTTTGCTGTCAACGGAGTGTCGGTAAATACGAAGTGAGAACTGGGGGACGAGAGGGCAAGGGAAAGGTATCCAGGGCTTCTCTCCGAAAAGCAATGTTGGGCTTTTTTGAGGTCATTTCACCTCGATTCTTTCGTCATTTCAAATATAAAACCAAGCTGGCTGGGTGGTTTCCACAGCCCGTCGCCTGGCTGGGGCAAAGCGGTAACTCCGCGTACGGTTTACTTGAATCAAGTTGGTAAAACGCCCTTGGTTCTTCCCCTGGTGCCGAGCGTTAAATAAAATGTCGGGCTAACCGTCCGAGCTGGATTAAACTAAAAGTATTGAGAATGTGGACATTGCGAGCTTAATCGTTGCTACTTTCATATTAGATTACAGGAGGAATATGGAAAGCTGTTTGGTAAGGTTGTGATAGGAAATACAATTTCCTTCGCTATCTTAAGCGCAATGTGCAACACGTAGTAACTTTTCCCTATAAGGCATCTATTGCCCTGTGCAGGAAACAATCGGTAACCCTGCGGAAAATAAAGTATAGCTCTTAAAAACTTGGGAAAAGAACCAACTTTGTACTCCGTTTAAAGTATCTTTTCCCTTCACAGACCAGCTGGTAAACCAGCCCCGAGGCAGGCACACTGCTCTGCCCGCAAACCTGGGGGAAAAAGCACCCAAAAACTAAACAAGAAAAAGAAAAACCCAACCAAACCCAACCACCCCCGAAGGCGGAGGCATTCCTGCCGGCAGAAGTGAAACCGTCTCGATACAGGCGGGTTTATTTGTAAACCCGGGAAGCGGCGGGGGAAGGGGAGGGGAGAGGAGAGGGGGCGCCCGCGGGAGCGCGGCCGGAGCAGCCGGGGCCGGGGCTGCCGCTGCTGACTCGGAGGAGCGATGTAGGTCAGAACGAGTTCCCTCAAGTTACCCGAGTTCGAACAATTCAGCTTTTCTTTCGAGGCTCCCAACGTGCTGTTGCAACGCTCCTGAACTCCGGGGCTCCTGCCGCGGTTCAGCCCCCGGCTCTGAGCGTCTCACCTCCCGCCCCTGCCCTCTCTCGCCACTGCCAGCACACCCTACGTTCATTATTTTGTTAATCTTTTATCTCACAGACGTGGGTTTGTTGATTTTGGTGGTGTTTAAAAAAAAAAAAAACTTGTGCCAGCGCGTCACACTCCCCATTTTTTACTAGATTTAGAGAAGCAGCAAGCGAATCGCCTGCCTACTCCCCATTCTGCACGGCTTCTTCCAGGAAGGCTTATTCAAGGCTCGTAGTTTGGATCTATTCTTTGTTACCACTAGTTACTACTTTCCACCACCAGTCAGTTTTTACACCATCACTTAAAGAGCTATTAACAGAGTTCCCTCTGGCCACGGGTTTTGTGCGCAAAAGAAGTCAGTCTTTTGAGCGACACGGAGAAATGTCCGTCTTCCAAATGGGCGATTTTCGTTATTTTATTTTTTGTTCCTCCTTTATTTTATTATTTTTATTTTTTTCCCCATAGCAGAGCGGGAGGAGAGGAGCCGCAGTCCACACGGAGGATGAGCAAGCGCCGTGTCCTGTCGCAAGAGCAGCGAAGCGGGACTGAGACCTCGCCGCGAAGCGCGGAGCTGCGGAGGAGAGGCAAGCCCGGGATGAGGGGACTCTCCAGGACAGGAACCACACTCAGAGACTGGATTTTAACCCCTCGGAGCTGTTCCCAGCCGTCAACACCGCTCCCCAGCGCTACAGCAGGCAGGGGCCGTGAGCGGGCTGAGGACATTTCCGAGGGACTCCCACTCTCCCCCAGAAAATTATCACCAGGAAGGCAGCCACTGTCACGAAGCACAACTAAGAGGGGAAATCATCCGCCCATACATTTCACAAAAGCGAGCAGTGGGGGGAAAAAGATAACCCAAAACTCGTCCCGACCGAGAGCTCTATTTTTACCGGGCATACGCACGCCCCGTGTGTCCCTCGCGGGTGTTTTGGGGCAATCGCACACCCAGTGTCGCAGTCGCGCAGGCTCCCAGTCTTCCCCTTCCCTGCCGTTGCTCTTCAGCCCCGGCCGTGGTGCCAGCGGGCGAGGACTTCCCTGTCTAAACATAGACGGTTTCGCCGTCGGAGCAGGATCCCCGCGAATGTTTCCCCGAGCAACAGCACCAGCGGCCCCGCCGAGCACCGAGGCCGGAGCTGGGAGCGCTCGGGCAGGCTCGGACAAGCCCTGCCCCGGCCTCCGCCCGCCCGGGGCACGGCGGCTCTTCCTCCCGGGGCGGAAGGGGCCAGCCCTCGCTCTCAAAACAAAACCTTATCCCCCCCCCCCCCCCCCCCCCCAAGACGGGTGTTGAAAGCAAAGAAAGAGAGAAGACGGTGTGTCTGTGTGTTGGTTTTTTGAGGCTCACTGCCCTGCCCGGCCCCGCAGGCGGAAAGCACCCCCAGCCCCGCGGCATCCAAGGGCGGCGGGCGGGGTGCCCGAAGGCACTCAGGACGGGGAGAGGGAACCGGGCGGGGACGGTGGGGTAAGGCGGTCAAAGCTTAGGACCCGTTTAGGAACCCGTTCCCCAGCCTCGGCGGCGGTGGAAGGCCCTCCTCTGGTGTTCGCAGTTTTCTTTGTTTACATTCAGTTTAGAAACATTGGCCTTCGGCCAAAAAAAGCGCCGGTTACACACACACACCACTCCCCCTTAACCCCCCATTCCTTCCCCGGTTCAAACTTTCACGACCCCCCGGTTGTTAAAATGTTATTCCCAGATTAACCCTTCGCCCACCTCGGAAAGAAAACATGGTTGGACGGGTGAGTGCACCTGCCCTCGTAGCTCCCCACCGAGGGGCTCGCAACAGGTTCTACCGGGGGATGGAAGTGGAGGTTACCGACGAGAGACACGCTGAAGAGAGCGGAGCGGCTCCGCCGCTCGGTTCAGCGTGTCTCTCCTCGCTGCCCGCGGGGCGGTGCTGTGTGGCAGCGGCAACCGGGCGGGGAAGCAGCGCTGCTCTCCCCGCCGCCGCTCCTCCCGGTTCCCCCCGCGTTGCTCGGGGCGGCGGTTGGGGAGAGCGCTGAGGTCGCTTGTATGCTGTCTGTCCGTCTCGCTGTCTGTCCTCCCCTCCTTTCCCCACCCGGCCCGCCTCTCCACCCCGATATCTTCCACCACCATCAACCCCCCCCCCCTCGGCGAGGAGTAAAGTGCCACCGCTCCGCCTTCTCCTTTTCGCAATGTTGACGCAATCTATAAATAGTGGAACAAAAGAACCAACTTCCTCGCAGCTTTGCTGAAACTGCACAAAAAAGGCAACCGGGGGGCGAGGGGGGGACGGGACACACACGGTTATTTTTTGATTTTATTTTTTCTCCGGTTAAAAGGCGAATCCTTCCCCCCCTCGACACACACGCTACTGGAAGATTATTTATATTTTTTTTTTCCTCGCTGTCTCCTATGCTGGCAACGTCCTGCGAGTGGCTGTTTTGCTTTTGCGCCGAGAGTACGGCTTCCTCCCCGCTTCTTCTGACAGTAAGTGCCCTTTACTGCCTTTTCTACTGGGGTAGGGGGGACTGGGACGGGGGGGCTACCTGCTCCCCTACCTGCCTGCAGCCCCAGAGGAGGGACCAGGCGCTTCGGGGACGGGGGAGGGGGAGCTGTTAGAGGCGGTTAAGTGTAGGGGTTGCGCGCACGGGGGACGGCGCGGGGGTAACTCGCGGATTTGGACGGGGTGGGGGTGGAAGCACGACCCGGTGAAATAAGGTGATCGGGAGTGGGGACGCTTGCCTCTGCCCGCCGAACAAAAGCTGACGCTGATATTAAACGGGCTTTTGTTAGGGGGAAGTGTGTGTGTGTGTGTGCGCGGGGGGGTGAGGGGGGAACAACACCCCGCCCGCAGCAAGTTGTCGTGCGGCGGAGGGCACCTTAGACTTGTTTACCACTCGGCGCCGCGCTCACCGGCGTGTTTACCCTGCACACACGCCTTGGGGCTCCCCCCCTTCAAACCCCTTCCCCCCACAAGGAAGGGGGGGTGGGAGTGTGAGCGGAGAGGGGTTTAAAGGTGGGGGGCGCGCTGAGGAGATGCTGATACGATCACGCGTAAAACAACACCCCCCCCCCCCCCTTCCCCTTTGCCAGTCGGATCGGTGCTAGCGCAGGCAGTTACTGGCCGGAGGGAGAATTACATCATCCCCTGCTCCAGTGATGCTACCTTTAGTGCCGCTACCATGAGCGCAGGGAAACAAGGGGGGCGCGCCTCTAGCCTCCCCGCCGGATCGGGCGTGCGCTCGATCCGAGGCGGGGGGTGAGGCTCACCCCCGCGTCATTCACACACACACACGCCCGCCCGACTGTTTACAGCGCTCACACAGGCGTATTGTGACGTCGCATGATTGACAGCCCGCCTCACTAACGGGGAGGGGGCGCTGCCCCCGACGCCTAGGCCAGAACACGGGCGCCCCGCCTGGTTTCCCCTACTGGGGGAGTTGGAGAGCCGAGCCTAAGATTAAATACTTAAGAAGTTAAACCGAATTTAGACCCTCCAGCATGAGGGTGGTTTAGGTGCTGCCGATTGATTGGCGTTTATGACGTTTTGTGACGGTTTATGACGTTTCAAACGCATGCTACACGCTCGAGAAGCGATTTCTTGCGAGAGAAGCAAGTGTGTTTGTAAACGGGTCAGATCTGTGAAGTTAAACCCCCGCCTAAGCCTGGCGCATTCCCTCTGGGAGCAAATGGGGACACAAGGGGCCGGTTCTCTGCCTGAAGCATGCTCCTGGTGGGGTTGGCACAGAGAAAATGTCACATTGGTGGCCTTGAACACGTCATTGTCCAGAGTGGACAATAAAAAGCTATTTTTTATATACATATATACATATTCAATGAAAAATACACTTAAGCACCGAGAACAAAATCTCAGTTTCATACACTGTCTGCTTCCCCCAATGTTACCAGTGCAATGTTATAGGGTCAAAAACTTGTTGCAATATGCTACTTGGGGGGGTTTACTTAGCCTGTGAAAATATTGAAGTAGTACTTACCTACTGCAAAGTCAATAAATCCATATCACACTAAAACCAACAAAAAAGTGTTTTAGAAACGTGTCAAGAATTGTTTGCCAGAATGCAGCAGAGTAATATTATTACTAAAAGATCAGCATTTACTCACTGCAAAATCCAAGGAACCGTGAAGCCCTGTTTAGCAGCACACAACAGTTTTTCGTGTGTTAATAGTTTGGGTTTCTTCAAAGTGTGTTACTTTTTGAAGTCTGGGTGTTTCTATTTGTGCAGAAAATAGACTGAGAAGCTTTGAGCTCCTACTGTTACAAAAGTTAAAAGGAAACAAAGTTGAGCTGCTAAGTCGGCAGTCTGGAATGAGTCAATAGTATCTCCTTTGTCCTGCTAGCTCTCGCTGCTGTGGTGTATCTTTGCTCTATTTCCTCTGCACAAGCAAAGGGGCATTTCTACCCTCCCTACATTTAATAGTTTGACTATAGATCTCCTAGCTTCCAAATATTGTAACCCACCAGTAAAACTCCAGTGCGTCTGCCTTTCCAGACTGTATGCAACAGCCATGATACTGCCAGTGACAGACAGTACACTGCTCACTTTAACCACATAGATACTTACACATTTTCCATTATCTATAATTAATGGGGCAAATTATTATTGCTTTGTTGTAGTAAGCCTTCACAAAGGAACAAGTAGGCTTTTTAAAGTATTCCATCAGTTTAAAAAAAAAACAAAACAAACAAGCAAAAAAAAACAAACAACCCCAAAACAAACAAAAGAGATTGGGATGGAGATGCAAGGAGATGTAAATAACTCTCCCCTCATTTACTTGGGGATTCCCTGGGAGTCTCAGAGGGCAAGGGGGTAACATCAATGGCTTTTACAACAGGATCACAGGTCCTGACACAGGGTCAGCTGAGAATCTATGCTTGGCTAGCTAGCCCTGTGCTCCAGTTTTGTTTAGCTGGTAGCTAGTCCCTTGAGGGATCAGTGTCAACTGAAGCATGCTAACTTCTATAAGCAATGGGTTGGTCAGTGACCAAGAGCTCTAACCGGCTCCTGGAGGGCTCCCTAGTTCTGTTGTGCTTGGAGTTCAAGTGCTGCTGCCAGGCTGCTTCTGCAGCTTGGGAGCTTGTTACAGAAAGAAATCAAAGTGGCAAGAGTATAAAGCAAACCCCAACTCTGTCCGTTTTCTGAAAACAAAAGGTGGGTGGGTGTAGTAGGTGGATTGGAAAAGCAGCTTGGGTAGGGACGGGTAGGCTCACAGACTGAGGCACAGAAACTGGAATCAACTCCCATCGCTATGAGCTAAGTTTCTGTGTACCGCAAACCCAGTTCACTCTCAAACTATGGCCTTGGCATCAGCATTAGTTGTTCAACAGACCTGTCACACTCCCACAGATCATAAAAAAACGTCAGTTCATTATCCCACATGTAAAGATACTAGTGTTCAGCAAATAAATTAGCAGCATACTTTCTCTGTAATATATGTATGCCTTAAATTAATCCATTAAGGAAGGAGGTACATAGATACATATATGCACACACAGGTATCTCCTCACACTGATAGCCCCTTCTGGTTTAACTGTCAAAAAGCACTGGCAACTAGAATTGGGTTGAGTACAAAGAAAAGTGAAACTGTATTAACTCACTGGGAAGTTGAAACCTGTATTTTAATATATGCTTTGTGTAGTTTTCATTTTTTATGTTACAATACAAAGGTTTTTCAGGTCTGCAAGATCAAGATAATTTTGGTTTGTTTGTTTTATAAAAATAAGGCTTGTTTATTATTAATTTATCTAAATCTGCTTTTCTTTTGATTAACTGAATTACACAAATGAGTAATTAGGAGTATGATTATCTGACTGACCATCCCTTTCCCTTTTCACACTTGAAAAATATTACCAGTCAACTACTGCTGCAGTATTGTATCTGTGACCGTTCTGACTGTACCATTTGGTTGTCTGATACTTTAAATTTTTTTTATGTAACTCTGTAACCCACCACTTCTTTTAAAAACCACAGCCTCATAATTTCTAATGATAACAAGCAGTTTTCTCTGGTCACCATAAAGGCCTGTGTTACGGATTTCTACAGCTGTTGTTTAAAACTCTAAATACATTCCTACCTTTTCAGTTGTGAAGGGTGTTACTAATTTATATTTGGAAATCTGACTGGTACAGACAGCATAGTCTTCCTGGTTCTGCAAGCAGGCAGTTCCAGTGTTTCAGCTTTTGCACAGTAGCACTTTAACAAGCAGCAGCCATGCATAACTAACAAGACTGCAAGTCCAGTTACTGCTTTTTAGAAGCTTGTACCCAGCTCTTAAGTTATCTGAAATGTCCATTTTATATTGTTGCAGCCATATGTCAAAACTATTAACAGCAGGAAAGTGCAGTAGTTATTCACAATGGATAAGATATGGGGCGGGGGGGGGAAGTTTTAAAAATGGAGCCCAAGGCACAGGAAGAAAGCAGCACAGCTCCAGCTATCCTTTTATAGTAACTGGTGTTTTATGGAAAGTGGGAAAGAAAAGAAAACTCTCTCTTCCTTCCAGCAGCTAGCCAGTGATAGCATGACCCTTCTAACTGAAGACTGATAGCATTCTTGGAGAAATCTTTATGCAGGTTTCATTTCTAGTATCTGAGAAGGAGAAGTACTATTTTCCCCAGTTCCTTCTCTTGAACCTTACTTCTGGATTCTGGGTCTCTAGCTATACTGATAGATGTCTAACAGAACAGTTTTCAAATTTGGCATTAATGCTTAATAAAAAGAAATAAACTTTTTCAGAATATTTTGAAGTACTGTAGTAGTTTTCATGAATATTACCTACATGCACAGTTTAACAGTTTGAGTACTGCTTATGTATAGATGACATTAGTTAATCAGGGCATTAGTTTAAAATGTGTACACAAGATACACCTCACACAGACTAAAGAAGTGCTCTCAGCTTGGATTACAGCTACAAATAAATATTTTGTAAAAGATGAATGGAAGTTAGGAAATCAGATGAGAAATATGTCCTTTAGACTGCCCAAAGAAGCAAAAAATAAACATGCCAAAAACTAGGCAACACTAGCTGGCAAAACAGAATATTGAAACGACTGTACTTTCTCAGGACTCTTAGTATCCTTGTTTCTGGCTGAATGTGGTATGTGCATTAACATCCTTTCTTACAAAATAATACATTTCATAAAGATTCCACTGTATGACAGTGTACTGATTGGCTGTCACAACTACTGACTAAATATTAATTTTGGTAGTCTTTCCAAGTTAAATCCATGAACTACTGTATCTGGATAACTTCTAAATCCCTACCCACAAGTGAAACTCCAACAAGCAGATTTCCTGACTTGCAAATTGCCTACCTTTGTTTATAAAGATTTGTTTTGTAATTTACTTCAGTTTATCATTTTTACCTTTTGTAGGTGGTTGGAGAAATGTCAGATGGTCTCTTTTGATTTGTAGTTTACTCCATTTTAGTTTTTACAACACTAAACGTTGTGATAAACACTGCAGACT